AAGGACTTCATTTCAGCCATTCTCCCCTGCACCATTTCCCACTTCCTACCATGYCCTTCCTATCCTATTGCAGCATGTTCTCAATATTCCATTACAGTTCGTATCATAAGGAGGAGAGAGAAACATCCTCATGTGTCTGCAAATCCTCCTCAGGCTATCATTCTTCCACAACTTCTCTGCTCTTGATGTGGCATCTCCATCTCTCTCAGTCTCTAGGGCCTACTCTRTTTGCGTGTTTTCCCTTTTCTCTATGCTGAAATTGCTTTTATCAAAGTCACCAGCATGTTTTCTGTATACAACAATCAATTCTCCCTCTTCTCATTACTCAGCAGCTTTTGACATCCTTTGCTACTGGCTCTTAGCCCATCACACTCCTCTGGTTTTCTTTCCTTTTTCATCAACTTTTCCCCCCTTTACAACCCTTGCTTGCAGTGCTTCAGGGCTCAGTCCTCGGCTACCACCTTTTCTTCTTGATCTATATCCACTACCCAAGTACCCTTCACCCATTCCTAAAATTTGAAGCATCTCCTGTATTCAAGGTATGCTATATTATTCACAATTCATAGTGCATTTTCCTCAAAATAATACTGTGTGTGGTTAATTAAATGCCCTTCAAGTACCAAGATCTCCACCATCATGTTCTTCTCCATCTTTTAAAGTGTCAGAGAAGTATGCATGAGCATTAGGAGTTATTTCTGATTTTGAAGAAGCCCTAAAAGAATGAATAGCTTTACTCTTAGGTAGAAGCAGGACTTATAGTGATCCACACTTAAGTGACAAGTACCACCATAAGGAAGGACCTAACTGGAGTTGAGAGTTTATTTTGGTCATCTGAGAACATATTAAATCCTCAATCCTATTTAGATTGGGATCATAAGCCAGTTGAATGGTTCTTCTATTCTGCAGTTTCAATGAGGTGAAAGTAAAATAGATACTTCTTTCCACTGAAGGTTTTTCACACTGAGGTCACAGAGAAACCTCCATTACAACAAAATGTCAAATAACAATTAAAGAGGGCCACAATTTTAATGTGGAAAGGGCCTGACACACAGGGGATGTGTGCCTCTTTCCCTGGCTTACTAGTTAAAAGAACAGAGCCCTTGGTTTTTGATGCAATCTTAGCCAGTAATATGGTCAACATAAACCTGAAGAGCCTCATTTCAATCCAGAGTGAACTGGCATCATATGACCTTGAGTTACAAGTCATCACAATACCCTACATATGCTAATGGTAAAGGCCAAGCTCCATGCCTTAGCTACAGTCTCCTCACCATGGGGAGGAAGAACAAAGGGACTCTATAGGCTACTCAGGACCACTGGGGAGAAGTAAAACTGCATTCTCCTCTTTACCTGACTCTGATCCTCAGCCATTATCACATGTTTTATAAATTCACTATTTTACAATTATTTAGGAGTTTTTCAAAGTAAGATTTTAGGATCTTAGAATTATTCTCTATTTGTTTTAAGAAATCGCAAGAAATTTTCTGTACCAAAATATTTCTGAACATACAGAGATGAATTTTAAATTAAAGAACTTTAAAGAATTTTAAACTAAAGAACTTCTTTTTGAAAAAGTCTCAAGCATCTCCTGTATTCAAGGCATGCTATATTATTCACAATTCATAGTGCATTTGATCAGTTATAAACAACAGACTATATAGCCATGTTTAAAATGCTCAAAACCCAAATAGATCCTGAAGGAAAGACTACTCCAAAGAAGGGGAAACATGGGAAATGAGTAGTACCAAATGATCTTTTTATTATTCACTGAAAAATACAGGTCTGCAAAGAGTCTACTGCATTGTGTATGGAATGCAAGGTCGGATGTTGCAACTGTATAGGATGGAATGTATAACTTTTATAAACTGTTACATATTTTACACACAGACAGTCCCCAACTCTTCTAAAATTTACTAGAAGTAAAACCTCTTAGTAAATAAGAAATATAAACATTTGTAATCATAAGCAAAATGTTCTARGCAAAGCACTTCAAAATATTTTTTTGTGACATCTACCTTGTCTACCTGGAAGTAGGAATGGTGGGTCCCAGAAGAAACTAAGTAAAAGCCAACACCCTTGAGGAATTCTTCCCAGGAAGCAGGCTGCTAGTACCCTAGACAGGTTGCCACCCTGGCTAGTTGGCAAAGCTTCAGTGTCACCCTGGGGCCCACACTGACTACTAAACCCTGTTTGGGGGCTGGGCTGAAGTAATTGGAAGGAGTACTAGTTACAAGGAATCTTCTGTCACAACTGCATACGTTGCATCCACTCTATAGATAAGAACACCTTGTTTTTCCGGTGTGAATCTGCCACTCTCAGCAGTCACTGGAATGTGCTTGAGAAGAAAATTAACACTGGGAACAGAAATCATTTTCTATGCATTCTGCAGATGATATCAGTACTTCCTTTCAGTCATGTTTTCAAGAAGCTYAAAAGGGCCATTGCTACTATAACACCTAGGCCAGGATCAAGGCAATTRGACATCTCTGGTTATGATTACTCAAATGAAATAAAAAGTATAACTTATATTAGAAAACAACAGAATCAGTATCAATTAATTACATGGCAAAATATTTAAGCACTGCAACAATATTCAAAATTCCAAGGTCAATGTTAACTGTCCACATTTTCCACCAAACAGAAAAATCCTGCATGGAGGAAAGCATGCAGCACCAACACCAACTCCTCTCCAGTTATTACCAGGACTCAGAAAGATCCGTATAGATAACAAATGCAAAAAAAAAAAAAAGGCATTTCAATACAAACATAGCAACAGAGGAAGTCTACACCTCCCTCTAGGTTTCCTTGGCAGATGGCAAAGCAGCCTGTTTGAAACAAGTGCCTGAACTGACCTTGGCAATACTCACATTCTAAGAGAAATCAAGGTTACATCATTCCCTTATTCATAGGTAACCAAAGATTATTAAATAATTTCCTGAACTAAGGCAATAGTCTGACCATAAAAAACTTCTGAGTTTTTATTAAATGAGATGATACAATATTCCAGCTTCTTAATATTAAGTTATTGTTGTACAGAGAACTTGATCAAAGCCCAAATATGAATAATATTAAAATCTCAGATTTTAGATACAGGMAAATATTTTATCAGAGTATTCACTTAAGAGATATATATATAATTCAGGCTGGGGATGTAGCTCAGTTGTAGAGCACTTGCCTAGCATGCATGAGGCCATKGGTTCGGTCCTCAGTACCACAAGAGAGAGACAGACAGAAAAAGCAGCAGGAGAGAAAACGGGGAGGGAAAGAAAGAGGAAAAGGGACAGAGACCATGTTCTGCTAAGAATAAATTCCAATTCTATGGGCATCTTATTCCCCTTAACTCTGTACAGTAAAATTCACTGTTCAGTTACTAAGTCCTTGTCTCTTCTAGTCCAAGAATAATCTTGTATAAAGCTGGGAAAAAAAACCTGTGAACTCCAGCAGAAAATACTAGTACTGGTGCTAGTTACCTTTAGGGGAATAATTACAATTACTTATTAGGCTGGTAGAAGCTCTGCTCCTTTTTCATCTCTAGATTGACATATTCTAGTATTTTAAACACGGTGAGGTTTCACTGACAAAACTCTAGTCCACGAGTAAAGTTCTGGCCTCTGGAATGATGTACAGTTTGCTCAAAAAGCTGAATGCACTTCTATTTAAAACACGTTCATTATTTTTTCCCATCACGGTTCTATCACATTCGTTCATCTAGGGTGTCATATTGAACCCTTCATTGCTGTTTTTTTTTYYTTTTYYTTTTKGKKGKGGGGGGGACCTTCTTCTGCATATATAGGATTCACAGAAGTATCCTTTTAATGTATAAATTCCATTTCACACTATCAGCTCCCCAAAGACAAAAACTGGGGAAAATTTCCAGTTAGTATAATCATAATTCACTAGGATTTCCTCTCCATAAAGGAAATTTTAAAAATGTTATTTAGAAGCTGAACAAACACCTTGGATATTCTTCTAAAGAGAATGCTATATCACTGCTATCAAAACCCAGATACCTAATAAATCTAAAGATTATATGGATATGTAATAGCAAAAAATCTGGCAGTTTAAAATACATTTTTACAATTTTATACTATACCATTTGGGTAAAGGAGCTGTTTAGAATTGTTAATGACAACTTTGTCTGCCTGGATGCTGGCTGGCTAGATTCAGCTAAAARCAGTAACAGGAGCAAATGAAAAGTGTCCAAGAACATCCTTTTGGCTTATTTTCCTTGAGCTTTTGGTCACATTTCCACCAGCTCTAGGGAAGCCTGTCCCAGGGTACAGTTCTCAGTTCTCTGTTCAGTTGCTTAGGGATAAAACACGGGGCTTTACCTCACCTAATCCAGCACCTGGCACTCAGTAAACACTGCAGCTTTAAACTAAGAAAAGACTCAAAGACTTTGCACAATTCTTGATTTTGTACTTTCCAAGGAAATAAAAAATTAATCTTAAAACTGAATTTATACTTAAAAAATGCAGTGCCTCAAAAAAGCAAAATCTAGAATGGAAAAATTTCAGGAGAATATACYTTATTAATCTAATCTTACTTTGGCTAAATTATCATAGTAAGTCAGTGTAATTTATTATTGTATTGAGAAGCACAGTCTACCATGTTTTTTCTAAGATGGTATTAGTGAAATATATGTGAATGGTTCAGAGGTGATAGCCCTTTAGCCTTTTGTGAATTCATAACATAAAAAGATAAAGGCTAACTAGAATTTGACATTCAGAAATTTACTTGCTTAGCACAAGTTGAATCAGGAGACAGTTAAATATCAGAATCTCATTTACTTAGGATATTAAGAAGTGCTTTTCAGCCTTGCCACACATCAGAATTACTTGGAAGCTTTCAAAAATTACCAAATGCTCAGGCCAATTAAATCTGGAGTGGTGAGCCCGGAATCAGTATTCCTTCTGTTTCCCAGGTGTCTCTAACATGCAGACATCACGCAGACCACAGAGGCATCCTTTTGAGAGACCTGTTTCTTGAAAGCCAAGCAAATGGAATTCCTATCTAGATAGCTTTGCTTTTTCAAAATTCCACCAGAAAAGGGGATTTCTTTCTTTTTTACTCTTTTTAGAAAAAGGCACTGTTGTGCTTCCTCTAATGACACAGCCTGCTGTTGGTAGGAACTGATTGTCGGAGGTTATCTAGAGCGTTGGTGGTAAAGAAGAAAGTCYTTGTCTTGGCAGAGCAGGCAGAATTTCAGGCTTCGGCAGCTGCCTCCAGCAACAAAAAATGCCCASATGCCCATGAACACCATGATTATGTATGCTGACACCAGATTTATTCCATAGTGAGGACTTAGGAAGGTCTGCAAAGAAAAAATAAATCAACTTGGGTAATAATACAAGCTTATTAAACATGTGGAATAACCAAAGACAGGAAAATATGGAATATTCTCAAAAGCTAGACTGTGTTTCAGCAAACTACAATGCATGTCATGTGTTAAGAATCCACAAAAGCATCCAGAACCAACTAATTAAGAAAGACTTGTCTGTAGATCCTGTGCTTTGCTAGCTTCTACTGACAACCCTAGAAGATAGTCACTTGCCAAAACCTAATGGAATACTCAGTAGAAGACATATGTTATAATCTAGCCCAGGTTGGTATCCATTTCTGTGTTAATTGTCTATTACAATTTTCAAGAAAGTGAGGCAAGCCAGATTAGTATGAATCCTTAATATTTAAGGAAACATGTGGAAATTGAGTCTCTTTTACAGCTGGACAATTGCTATTGTACAAAAGTTTATTCATTTACAAAATACTGATAGGAGCCAGGCACCGTGGTGCATGCCTGTAATCCCATCAGMTCGGGAGGCTGAGACAGGAGGATCTCAACTTCAAAGCCAACCTCAGCAATGGCAAGGCACCAAGCAACTCAGTGAGATCCTGCCTCTAAATAAAATACAAAATAGGGCTGGAGATGTGGCTCAGTGGTTGATTTTAACCCCTGGTATGCTCCCTGACCCTGCCCCCCCCCAAAAAAAAATATATTGATGGAGGTGTAGTTCACTGTAAAGAAGATATTTAGCATGCACAAGATCATGGGTTCAATATCAGCCCTAAAACAAAACTAAACAACAACCACCACAACAAAAACCTCTCATGGAGTGSCAAAAGGCACTGGGTCATGCATTAGTGAAGACCAGAGTCTTCATGCTAATGGAACTTATAGACTAGCCAGCGGGGCAGGTAATGAACAAAGAAGTTAATTACAAATCATGATGAATGCTAAGACAGAATAATTATAATTGTGATGATGTTAGGTATTAAGAACAGGCTTATATACTTAGGTTGGTCAAGGAAGGTCCTAAGAAAATAGCATTTAAACAAAGACATATGGGAGGAGAAGTGAGTTAACCCTCTGTAGGCCACAGGGAGGATCAGAGAAGGAGGCAAAGAGCTGGATACCATCAATAACTGAGAAGAGTCAGTATTAATGATGGTTAGGAATGTGTAGGATCAGCAGATCAGGTCAGAGAGGAAGGCTGGGGTCAACTATGCAATGTTTTGGTAAGGAGCATTAATTTTGTCCTCAGTGCAATTGTGGATCATAGAGGGGATTCAGGTTGGGGTCCTGAAAGACTTTAGATTTTTTAAACTAAAGAGAATGAGTTAAATGAGGCTATGGTGAGAGAGAGAGAGAGAGAGAGAGAGAGAGAGAGAGAGAGAGAGAGAGAGAGAGAGAAGAGAGAAGAGAGAAGAGAGAAGAGAGAAGAGAGAAGAGAGAA